CTCTTACAATCCGCGTGCGCGATGCGACGCCGATATTAATGTCTGCCCCCGGTACGATATATATTTTATTGGCGTTTCGCTGCCTAGTTCAATGATGATTTATAATTGTTGTTCGCTCGGCTGTAATTATTATAATTACAGATTTTTCGTCCGGGCTCTCTCAGAACCAGGCCCCGGTTTGGCCCGGGCCCGGACATCCTCTTCACTCCATCCCCCTCGATGCGGCTCCACCCCTTCGGTCCTCGTCTTTGGACCTTTCGTTCCCTTCCCTTCTACTGCCTTCCCTTCTACTTCCCTTCTGCATTTCTTCCGCTCTCACTCGTTTCTCTCTCTCTCTCTCTCTCTCTTTCTCTCTCTCTCTCTCTCTCTCTCTCTCTCGCGGTCTCGCTTCGTTCCCTCTCTATCCGACTCGCTCGCTGTTCTTTCTATCTCGCGAACAGAGACCAGATCTACGGCGACTCCGACGTAGAAACGGGTTTTGGAAGTTGGACTCGCGCGATGTCCAGTCTTCGCACTCGACTTCTGAGAAACCTCTGTCTCTGCTCTCGCCTTCATTCAACGCTAAACGCGGTCATTCGATTCCGATAACAATTACAGATAGCGATAGATTAGTAAGGTGAAGCTCGTAATTAATAGAAAAAGATGAATATATCAAGCGCATATATTATTTTCGTTGGACTAGCAAATAATTGTATTCAATTATGAATACAATTCATCTCTTCAATGCAGTTAATCGTGATTCGCGTAGGAATCGCGCTTTCAGCAAACCCTAATCTCTCTCCATCTCACGCATTTATTTCTCGCATCTAACGATATCCACGCGTATTCACGCACGCGGAGTAACGGAACGCGTGCGTACGTACTTATGCTCGCGGCCTACACACCGAGAACACTGGTTCCAATTCATCCTCGTTGCAGGTCTCCCATTATCCGTCCTAACCGGTGACGGAGGATCATTAAGCCACGGCGCCTTTTGTCCGTTTCTCTATACGCGTCCATCTTTAACAACTGAGCTTGGAAAGAACGAGGGTCTCGAGAAAAACGCCAGCGAGGCGTGCTCCACTTCGGTACTTTTCTCCCGTCCACCTCGTTCTCCAGGATCTGTCCCTCTCCCTCTCTCTCTCTCTCTCTCTCTCTCTCTCTCTCTCTCTCTTTCTTCAGTCCGATCGTCGCTACACTTTCCACGGCCACTGCTCTCGAGAATCGAGAATCGATTATGAATCGGACGCGATCACGGTGCGTGGCAGTCAATGCGAACGCGAGAGAGCGAGACTGTTGGTTGCATCGACTCCGCCGGTGCACATATACCGCGTGTATATCGCGGTACGAAGTGATGACCGTAATGACTCTAACCACCGTCTGACATCTGGCATTAGGCACTCAGGCTTTCGAGTGGCAACGCCCGCAGCAATTGTTGCCGTTTACGACTGCCGTGCGCGTTCTCCTTCTCTCTCACACACTGAGTCTGTTCTTCTTTCTCTAGCTCCTCCACTTCTCTCTCTCTCTCTCTCTCTCTCTCTCTCACACTCCCATCGCCCTGTTCTCGCTCTTACTCGAGTGAATCCGGCTTCCTCGTCTCTCCACTTCGCTTCTCTTCTGGTTCTTTCCCTTTCCCTCGCAATCTTTCGCTCGATATCTTTCTCTCTATCTCACTTCTCTCTATCTCCCTTTCTTCTTGTACCTCTCTCTCCCGTTTTCTTCCCGTATCTCCTTCTTGTTTTCTCTGTCCCGTTCGCTTCCACGTCTCTTCATTCTCTCACACACTCCTTCCTTCACATTCGCTCCCGGTCTCTCTCTACTTCTCGTTGGTCCGCTCTCGATCCTACGCGCTATAGACCGCATTCCCGAGCGCAAACGACGAGGCAGAGATATATGTATATGCATTCGCACCGTTCGCCGCCTCTGTTGCAGTTGCGAAGAGCGGAGAGTTCGATTGCGCTACTCCGTGGAAAACCTGAAAAGTCATAGGGCGGTATTCATAGGCCGGTATTCATAGTCAGATCTTATATTCAAGACCGTCTTAAGTACGGTCTTAAAAAGTCACGAACCAATCAGAGGGCTGCATTAGCGTCTTAAGACATTACTTAAGATGGTCTTGAAATAAGAATCGACTATGAATACTGACCAGTTCTCATTTTAAGACCGTCTTAAGTAATGCCTTAAGATGTTAATACAATAAAGCCTCTGATTAGTTTGTAACATCTTAAGACTTAATCTTTAAATGGATAGGTCGCTGTAGCACGTATAGTTATTTTAACGTATAGTTATTCTTTGTAAACACACTAGGTCCTTTTTTTAACCCAGGCGGAATTTCACCATCAAATTTCTTGGCACAAATTTCAATTTTTATTAAATGAAGGTTTTGACATTTGAGTTAAGTAACTATTTTGGCAATGTAGCAGAGATATTTATTTCTGGATTTTTCTGGATTTGTTGAAAGTCTAGTAAAAAAATTTGGGCTGAGCAAAAAAGACTCAAAATGCCTATGAAGAGTTAAAATAAATCTTGTTCTGGAAAGGAAAAATAAAACAGAATTATCTAGAAGTCTTAAAATTCATTTTATTTTTACATTTCTCTATCCCATAAGGACGTAAATAATATAAATTTAACTTCAAACATAACTGTAAAAATAAAATTTGTTTAGGGTATTCTGAACTCCCCACTTACCTACTTAAAGGTTAAGACATTCTTAAATATAAGATTAATATAATTGACTATGAATACCATAATTACGATGGCATAATTACGATATTCATATGACGCGATCGATCCGTCAACAGGTGACACTCGTTCGCATTCTTCGAGCCGAGTGAAACGAGTGAACGAGCGTGCGGGCGCGAGCGCATGGCCGCTTATTTACGAGCGGATTATGCAATCGAGCGTGCCGTATACTCGGCTCTAATCATAATACCGTGCTACATAATGCGAATCTAGTCCTTTTTTTTCCCGGGGAACTTGCACTCGGATTGCAGAACGTAACATGCGCTCGTTAACCCGCGAGCACGCGTGATTTTAAATTAAAATAGCGAATATGTAATGTAGCGCGCATAAATACGCGCTTATATGTCCTAGCTGATAGGAAGCGAAAATATCCCGGAAGTTGTTTATCTTTAGACTACCGCGATGCAGCATTCTTGATACTCAAAATATGAATTACGCGCGTTTTCGGCATTTTGTACCAAAAGTAATTTCCATTTATGTAAATCTGCTTTATTATGCATATGTTGACAGCGCAACACACTCGCTGAATTGAAACTCCTTTTACCACAGAATCCTACGGGTTGCGTAAGAACTTTGCGCAGCAGTCAATGTAATAAATTAAAGGCATTGGGCAGCGTATGACTTAAAAAACGATATTTCACCTATAATCGCCGCGTAAAATAATTTTCAATTTTGATGAATAAACGATTCAAACGGAAAAGGGGTAGGTGACTGAGTTTATATAATGCGTCTATAATTTTTCTTAATCGCTGATTTATTCACGCTTTTTACTTGTTTTTGTTACTGTTAGCGAGCAGAATTGTATTCGTCGATATTACTTGACTGCTTCAAGAGGTCGT